GAAGAGGAGCGAGAGGAGGAGGATACGTAGCCATTTTGGCTCAAGTACATCTGCTCAAGCTTGTGAATTTAGAGTGCTTAGAGAGAGAGCCATGGTGGGGACGTTCGCGCTCATCCAGTTGGGGGTCTTCCTGATCCTGGACTGGTTCTTCCTCGGCAATGTGATCATGGCAGGTGCATGCGACATGCCCTGTTGGGTGAACTGCAGCGCGATCGGCTTTCCTTCTCTGCACACAACAGCTTCGAGCATTTGGACTTTTAGCCTTCGTGGTCTTCCTACATGGGGCTAGTCGGGGCTTCTTGAAATGATCTGCTTGGCCACGCTTGTCTGCGGATGGTTTCTGGGCTTCCGTAGTCATGTGCTCTGTCCGACGATGTCTACCGGGCACGGTGACTTCATGCCTGCGCTTTCTTGCGACTGGTGCTCTGTGCCCCTTCCCGGGATGAACCTCTCTTTGTTTTGCGCTGTCCCACTCTGTGTCTACACTCTGTGGGGTGTGGGTTACAATGGCTCGCGAAACGCCTTCTCGTTTCGCGTGACTCCTGCTGCCTGGACTTCTCACTGGCCGTGTCGCCTGTCCTTCGCTCTGTCCCGGCTCCTTGGAGCTGTCCGTCGGGCTTGCCTGGCCTGTGGCTTGTGCTTGGGCTTGTGTGTCTTCGCCTCTTACGGCCGAGATCTCGTCGGCCTGGCTTCGTTCACGTCGGCTTTGCCATGCCGCCTGCGCGCTCTGCCTCTTCGAGACAAACGTTTCCTCTTCGGTTGCGCCGCCTCGAGCGGTGTCTTCGCTCCGAGGGTTGTGCGTTGGTCGCGATCGCGCTTTGGGCGCGTGTGCCAAGATGCCAAAGGTCCTTGGACTTTTCATCCGCCGCGTGGCTGCCTCTCTTGCGCTCCGGCTTGGCTTGTCGTCGTTGCCGTGCACGCGCTTTGGTTCGTCAGCTACCCAGACTTGGGCTTTGGTGTCGGGGTCACTCGCTCTGAAGACCTTGTTGCGTCGGACTCGCTCACGCCTGCTCTGCCCTTTCGTCCGCGGCCAGTGCTGCTCGGTGACGACGGCGTGCCTGTCTTGAGCATTTCCATGCTCTGCACCTTCGTTCTGTGGACTTTTCGTGGGGTGTGCGCGTGCAAAAGGTCTGCGTGCCAGCCGCTTCAAAGGGCCTGGGCCTCTAGCTCGTGGAGCGGTGTTTTCTTCTTCGCCCTTGTTTGGCCCCTTGCCACGGTGGGTCTGGCCCTGCTCGCCTGTCGGCTGTACCCGCACTTTGGTGTTCGGTTTCTCCCTGCCCTGTGGACGGGTTCCGTTTACGCCCTCGCTTTCTGGGATTGCGGGTCAGGCAAAGTGTGCAAGCGTGTTTGCGCGGCTAGGCGGGTTCGTCTTAGTAGGGTTGTTAGGCCTAGAGCAGGTTGGAGGCGCAGGTTGCGTGCAAGGTCTGCCTACGTGAACCGTGTGCTAAGAATGCGACAGGTTTTGCAACGGCGGCAGCACACTGCCAGTAAGCTGAGAACGATGTGGACTCGCCTCGGTCGCCGTCTTGGTGCGTGTTGCCTTGTTCAACATGTGAAAGGATGGAGCATGAGACCCCATCACCAGACTTCACAAAAGGAGACATGGGCATCCATCAAGCAGCAGTCCATGTACCGAGGAGGAGGGGGAGGCACTGAATCGCACGCCAAAGCCAAGGTGGAACGTCAGCTTCTTACAGGTCTGCAGGAGTTGTTGACCAAAATTGGAGCGGACAGATCGGCTTCTCAAGTCACACCTTCGCAGCAGCTCTCCAAAAAGGCTCGGAAGCGTTTGCGTAAGCAAGACAGGTCCTTGCTCTCAGCCTTGTCTGCTCTTGTCGAAAGAGCAACGAAAGGAAACAGTGACGTGCCACTCCTTGACCGCCTTCGCGGCCTGGTTGCCGCTGCCGAACAAGGGCTTGCCGGAGAGTGGAATCCGGACGGACGTGGGCTCGCGAAGAACGCTCCTACCACTGCTCGCGTTTCCCAAGCTCCCCAAGCGCAGGTGAGTAAAGCTAAGGGTCTTGAAAAGGGTAAAGGTAAAGCGAATGGTAAGGGTGCTAGTAAAGAAGCTGGCAAAGGAAAAGGTAAGGGTCAGCCGCAAGGTAAAGGCGTGCCGCAATATGAACATGCTTCCAACCCAAAATGGAAGCAGGTTGCCGGGTGGAAACTGTCGCAGTCCGACTGGCCCGACAAAGTTGTTCTTACTTGTGGTGCGGACGAATTTGCGCAAGTCATCGAAGAAAAGGTCGCTGATCGGAAGTTCGTCGCCCTTGCCCACACGAAGGAAGAAGCCCAGGAAATCATCCACCAGTGTGAGTCCGACGACAAGCTCAAGGTCTTGCTTCTCGTCCCGGGAAATGCTGAGTCGCAGCCAGAGTTGGTTCTGTCCGGAGCTGCAGCCGCTGATACGCGTTTTAGCTGCAGTCAGTACCCGGGCCGGCATAATGGTCGAGTTGCCACTAGAACTTGTTGGGCTTATAGACTCCACGCTGAGGCCCCTGCCTTGAAGTTTAGCGTCGTCGTGAAAGGTGATGCGCACCCTACGGTCGGAGCCCTTGTAAAAAAGCCTCCTGGTGTTTTGAAGGATGACAAGAAAGCCACCACTGTGGTCTTGAGATTCCAGCTGGACAAGCGTTACGTGTCCGCAGACACATGGAAGCAGTGCCTTGCCAAGGCTGGAGAACAGGCGCGTCTTTGGGCACACTCTTCCGGCCCTCACATGGCCCAAGTGTGTCAAGACACTTTCCACTTTTCGGTTGTAGGCAATAACCTGATTCAAGGTTTGATGAGGGTTAAGATAGGCGACCATGCTGATGAACTGATTGCCAAGTCAGGTCAAATGCATAACAACATGAGATGGTTTGTCGAACCCATGAGTTGGCAGCAATGCAAGCTTTCCTCGGAGCGACCTGACGTCAAATGGGTGGAGATCGCGGACAGAGAGTCTGCCCAGGCGTATGCTCAGAGAGTCTGCACGCTCTCGACGGGTTTAGGGCTAGTTCGAGGTTGGGTTCAGTTAGGGTTGAGGAGAAAGCTTCAAGCAGGGGAAGCACCGGCTCCAAGAGCAGCCCAGTGGAGGGTTGAACTTCCCAGTGGCTGGGAGTACGAAGACGTCGAGGAGCTTGTCAAAGCTTCTGGTTTTCAAGAGGTGTCTTTAGTCGCAAAAGTGCCACGACGCCAAGGCGTAGCTTGGGTTTTTAGAGCGGTTCCCGAGAAGTCCCACGCTACTGCTGAGTCCGTCCAACTGTCCTTTGACGTTGATGCTCCTCCCATCACCATCGTCAAGGAGACACCGCGCAAGCCAGTCAATTACAGGGTCAAGCAGTTGTTGGGAGAGAGCGTGATTTCTTTTAAGCCCGGAAAGAAGAAACCCGAATCCGCGAAGCACGCCGATGCTGCCCGGGATGCCAGAACAGATGCCATGGATGTCGAAGCTGAAGATCTTGAGCAGAAGCCAAACGACGATACTGCTAGGGATGCTGGTAAAGACAAGAGCCAAAGCGGTGTTGTCGCCGGTTTAAGTCCTCCCCCCAAGAGGTCCAAAGGTAACGGTTTGCCGCTTGAAGCTAAGGTCGTGCCAAACTCTGGAGATGGCAACTGCCTGTTTGAAAGCATCGCTCAGGGCATGTCGTCGGCTGAGGGGAAGCGACGCACCAAGGGACAGATCCGCATCGCTTGCTGTAGTCATCTGGAAAGGCATCTTGATGATTACGAGCCGTTCTGGGATCACAAGAACCCAAATGGCAAAAAAAGCGAAGGAAATTTCAAAGGGTACATAGACACCTTAAAAAAGGTTGGTAGCTGGGGAGGCTACTTGGAGATTAATGCCATCTCTTCTACCCTTGGAATCAAGGTTCTTGTCTGGCACAAGCCTAGTGATCTGGTGCATAGGTTCAACTCTGAAGCCAGCGGTCCGACAATTTGCTTGCTTTACGACCGCGAAAACAAGCATTACGAATGGGTTGACGGGCCCGTGCAAGATGAGTTCATTGACAAAGCTGTTGATGTCTGCATCTCCAAGGCAGAAGATTACCGAGGCGGAGTCGGTAGCTGCAGGTTGTCAGACATTCCCGCAAGCTCTTCCGGCAGCCGAGGCTTATCTGACATCCCTGCCAGCATCGCCAGGCGATGCACCGAGAAGCCCTCACGGTCGTCCAAGAGCTGTGCAAGCGTTCGCAAGGTACAGGCACCTGCCAAAGCTGCACAGGCGGAGCAAGGTCACCAGGTTAGTAGTGGTTCTGGGTCTAGGGTTAGTGCAAAGCAAGGCACACTTCAACACGGCAGCTGCAGGCTCTCAGTCGTGTCTGCGTCGACCTCCGGGGCTGCCAAGTCGTCTCGCGGTCGTAAGTTTAGCCCCAAGAAGAGAAGTAAGGAAAAGAAAACTCACACTTGGTTCTGTGGGCTCTGCCAGATTGAGTTTCGTGCCAAGACTAGTAGAAAAGTCTCTTTGATCCGGAACAACCATATTTACGATGTGCATGACAATGATCCTGAAGCCCGCAAGTTCAGATACAAAGAACTCAATACGATTGTTGAGCCTGCTGACATCCCTAAACACTGTCGGGAATGGGAGTGCTTTTGGTGTAGAAGGGGTTTGGGTGGGTTGCCTAAGTCAGTACAAGTGCGCTTTGGAGCACCTGCGCAAGTGTGCTCCGCCAGGTACGACTGTCTACGAGAATCGCGCTAGATTCCTGCAAGAGGAAAGGAACAACAAAGGGAGAATGCCCAGAGGGCATCCTCACCAAAAGCGGCTCCTGCAGTTGCCTCCTGGTGCAAGGTATGAAAAAACCAAGAAGGATCTGAAGCAATGCGATCAACTTGGCCATGCTTTGCAGCTTACGGACTTTCCCAATTGCATGGGCGGT